TATATATATATATATATATATATAAAAAGACTCCTGATAAGGAGTCGAGCCTTGTAGCTCAATGGTTAACACATCTGCCTGAGAGGCAATATATGTATATATATCTTTGTGTGTGCGTGTGTGCGTGTGTTCTAGCATAACTCTGGAATGCCTTGAGCAATTTCAACCAAACTTGGTAGGCAGGTGACTTGCTCCCTGGAAACAAATACTGTGGGGGGTAAGACACCCCTAGCATCCCTTGGGGGGGGGTGTTCTGTTAAGATGCAGCCTGTTGTGCCTTCAAATGACTTCTACTGTACTGCCGTAAAATGGTTCCCACTGTACAGCGCAGTAGAATTGCCATGGTAACGGCTTCACAGTACTCCACAATGGGGCTCCCTCTGGTAAGGGAGAAAATCCAACATTAGAAATTACGTTTGGTCTGGACATTTTCTCCCTATAAATAAATATCCGGGCAACGCCTAGTTAATGATAAAGTTAGCTAGTTAGAATATTAGAATAAGAATTATTTATTTGTCAGTGTACAACATATGTACAATGAGACTGGTTGAGCTCCCCCAGCGTGCACCCTCACCCAACCCAATACCAACTCACAGTAGAAGCCAGTTTCCTGTGCTACTGCCTTGGTGCGTGGTTGAGTAAGCCATGGTTTGTTTTAACTATGGTTTGAATAGACCTAAGAAGGATGGATTTGGATATTGAATCATGATGGGGTTGATTTACTTTAGTGCTATGGACAAATCTAGTCCATAAACTAGGGAGGGATTAAAAAGAAGAAATATTTATTTTCCATGGCCAAAGAGAATTCTGGAGATTCTGGAGTAACACCAGGCCCAAATTTTGGGTTCTTCTTGAAAACTGTCCCCGGCCATTCAAAGATCTATCTCTGCCTTTGGATCTTTATCCACAAAATGTAAGATGGAAACTATTGACTGGGGGCAGAGAACTTTGACAGGATTCCTATAAAAATGTGGGACAGGGATGCCATCTAGTGCCTGCAGTGAATATTACAGTTTACAGGGCAATGGAAGACTTTCCCAAGTCAATAAAGAGGCAGCGCCATCTATCAGGGCAAACAATATCGTTGGGACAGTCCCAAATCTTGACCGCTCCCTGTGGACGCAGAAATTGCAGCGAGCCAGATGGAAGGGACTACAGACCATCCTCGATTTAACAGCGGTGCCTTTAGGGACTATTCGAAATTACAACAGCAGTGGAAAAAGGGAGTTCAGGATTGCTTTTCACACTTAAAACCGTTGCAGCGTCTCTTCCTGGTCATGTGATCAAAATTCAGATGCTTGGCAACTGGCTCATATTTATGACGGTTGCAGTGTCCCAGGGGGCCTTTTGCGACCGTCTGACCCGCAACAGTGAAGCCCAATTCACTTTGTAACTAGTCTGGCTAACTGAACAACTGCAGTGATTCACTTAACAATGGTGGCGAGAAAAGTCATCAAATCAACTGTCTTGTTTAGCAATGGAAACGTTGGGCTCCGATGGGGTCATAAATCAAGGACTACCTGCAGTTACGCTGTAGGAATTATTGACAGGATTAAAACCTGGTTCTTAGATCAAAAGTAGGATGAACACACCTAGGACAGTGTGTGAAAATTGCAGTCTAGACAACTATAAGGTAAAGGTCCCCCCCCCCCCCGCCAGTTCAGCTAGGGTTCAAATCCCTAGCACCGCGTAAGAGTGAGCTCCCGTGACTTGTCCCAGCTTCTGCCAACATAGCAGTTCGAAAGCATGTAAAAATGCAAGTAGAAAAATAGGAACCACCTTTGGTGGGAAGGGAACAACGTTCTGTGCGCCTTCGCCATAGAGTCATGCCGGCCACATGACCACGGAGACATCTTTGGACAGCGCTGGCTCTTCGGCTTTGAAATGGAGATGAGCACCGCCCCCTAGAGTCAGGAACGACTAGCACAGATGTGCGAGGGGAACCTTTACCTTTTAAAATTATACTTTAGTTTTTTTAGAAAGAATCAATTCCCTTCCTGCCTCTTGTGCAAGAATTTAGCTTAGTCTAGATGTCTGTCAAAAATATAATTTGTATTAAAAAAAGACCACTTTTGCGCCATCAGAGCTCATCCTTCCCCACTATTCTAGTCTGTAAGGTTTGCTACTCAGGGCAATTCTTTGATTTACCAAGGCCAATGATCTGGATGAGAGACACAGTGAAATCTTCATTTTTCTGCTGGATGAGGGTCTCCACGGTTAATCCAATGACACTCAACAACGAAAGGATGGTGACACAGAAGTAGATCTTGACAGGGGACGACAATTCGGACCATCGTTTGATCTGGAACGGTAAAGAGTGCAGTTAATGTGAAGAGAAATTCCCCTTCAAGTTGGACTTGGGCTTCCCCGTTTAGCCCGCAATCCTGGGATTTCCTGGTTAAATTTCATCTAGTAATTTCCTCTCTGAAGTTGGTTAAGGGAGGTGCCTTCAGCTATTGCATGCCGTGTTTGTAAACAGTGCCTCAACATGTTTGAGGTCAGAATTACCGTATTTTTCAGAGTGTAAGATACACCTAGCTTTTGGGGAGGAGAACAAGAAAAAAAAACTGCCTCTGGCTCCCAGCAATTTACCTCCTTGCACCAAACAGCAAACAGCCTGTTTCAGTTCCAGCACAGCCTGATTAGCACAAGCAGCTGATGGTCGGGCTTCTCGACGATCAGCTGTTTCAGGCTGCAGGGATTGCCATAGCCTATTGCCACTTCCGCGCGCCCCATTTTCGCCCTCCGCATCCCATTTCTGAGCAGCGGGGATAGGAATGGGCAGAAATGGGGCGCGCGGAGGCGGCAATAGGCAATCCCAACAGCCTGAAACAGCTAATGGTCAGGAGGCTGATCCAACTGACCATCAGCTGCTTATGCTAATCAGGCTGTGCTGAAGCTGAAACTGAAACAGACTGTTTGCTGTTTGATGCAAGGAGGCAAATGGCTGGGAGGCAGAGGCCAAAGGGTGGGGACTAACGGGTGGGGTATAAATTCAGTGTATAATTTTTCACCCTCTTTTTTTAGGGGGGGGGAATGCCTCTTATACTCCGAAAAATATGGCATGTCTGCTCTTTCTCTCCCGCTATTACACCCACGTTCCAATGGCTCAAACCACTTTATTGAAATTAACAAGATTGATGGAAGTTCAGATACTTACAGGACCACACGGTGTGGCAATCAGGTCTTGGTGTCTTGGTGTTAGGTTTGGCAGTGGAGAATTTATGCTTTCGTTTGGCAAGGGAGAGGCCAGTGCTTCTTCTGACTGGGACAGGAGGACCCTAGATGCACGCACACACACAAAAGGAAAATTATATGTGGAGGTTCAGGTAAATATGTTATGCGTAGAAATGTGCTGGTCCATCCTGGGTGTGCTAAGTCAGCAGGAAGGAAAGGAATTGGGGGAATCAGAAAGGAGCAGGCTTCAAGGTCTTTTGTTCAGGGAGCAGAACTCTATCCATCTTCAATTTTTGGTAAAAAATGAAGTTGGGATTTGGCTGGAGGATCTAAGACAGATGCCTAGAGGTGCAGCTCTCACCTTACAATCGGGAGGCTGAGAGTTCGATCCTAGGGAGAGGCAGATATTTCTCTCTCTGGGCACAATGGGAATATATCTGCTGAACAAAACCCCACATTGGCGACAGGTAGGGCATCCGGCCATTCAAACACTCCGCTAGCTCCTTTCAGGTGCCCAGACTCCACCTCACAAGGGATGATGGGAGTCGTTAAAAGAGGATGATCTAAGATAGATGTTGGCTGGTGAAAGTTAGGGGTCAACATCTGGAATGTCACAGCTTTTTCTTAAAATGTGGGGGATGCCAAGCAGAACTCCAAAAGCTTTGCTCCCAAGGGGGTGAGGATGGTTTTGGGAACTGCACAGGATCGCTCCTGAAGGAGGAAAGTGTTAGATTTCGAAGGCATTGATGGAGCGTAGCACTTTGAATCTTTTGCGAACCAGGACGAAATCACACCATTTCAAGTGAGGTGGATGTGTGTGTGAGGGCAGCACTGAAGTTTTGGCTCACGTTGGCAGCTTCCTGGCATGAGGGCCAGGAAAAATGCCAGGGCCATCGGCTCCCAGCTGCCCAAAGTTAACTTAAAAAGCCAAGTTTCTAGTCCGCCTGAGGTGGATGGGTCCATACTGAGGTTTCTTTGCAGGACGCATGGAATGGCAAGCCTCACATATTGGGCCAACTGGATAGGATTCACGCTAATCCCGCAAACTCAGTTGGGCTGATTGAATAAACCAGGATTCCTGAATAAACTGTGATTCCTGAATAAGCCATGATTCCATAAACCAGGACAAGCATGAAAGGAAAGATCCTAGCAGGATCCTCGCATGTCCCAGATGCGCTGAGACCCCAGTTTCCATAATCCCCAGGTAGCACCTCTGAAGTGATGGGGTCTGTAGTCCCACATTCCTCTCCAGTCAGAAAACCCACACCCACACCCTAGGGCCGTGACGTCAGAGGGCGTGGTGACGTCAGACACGCGACGTCACGCCCCAATGACGTCATGCCGCGGCCAGGGAGCGCGAGCTCTAACGGAAAGATCAGTCGGTTTCCCTTCACACACCCCCTCCGGGCTCCCGCAGCGTCGTCTACGGATCCCCGCAAGGCGCAGTGACCGGTTATTACCTGGTGCTGGGCGTCTCCATGGTGACGGTGACCGTTACATGTCCCAGCCGATCGACGAGGCCGGCGCTCCCGAATACGGGAAGTGCTCTAGGGCGGTGGCCATAGAGAAGGAAGGGGCCGAGCAGAGCAACTTCCGGTCCGGGCGGAAACGCGCCATTTTCACGCCTGCGCCCGCCCTTCGGGAGAGTTCGAATCCAAGGTGCCATAGAGTGGGAGACGGCTAGACCTACTTCCCGCTGTAATTCTCTAGTGTACAGTAGTATTTTTCTCATCGATGTGCTCGTCACTTCCTTCCCTCCAGTACCTACAGGTTACTAAGAAGCTGATAACGTCATAGTCTTGAGCTGCCTTTCCCCTTCCTTGCTAATCGGGGCGAAAGAAAGCAGAAGACACGTGTTGCCTCAAGAGGACTAGAAACTTGAGTCTACGTGTAAATGGGACCCTGGTAGAAAGCCAGATCTCCACTTTCAGTATCCTCACCACTATTTTTAGTTTGGTTTTAGTTCTAAACGTAGAGACTACCGTAGTAGTCTCTACGGTAGTAATAACTAATAATAACTAATAAATAAGTACCGTAATAACTGTGAAGATTAGTATCTACAGGACTAGAAACTTGTTTGGCTTTAATTGTGAATGGTTTGAAGCTGGCCTCGGGGAACTTTCAATATCTTACATACCTTCCTGGCATCCAGAGTGGATGAGCAATTTTTAAATTTTACTTGTAAACTGCCCAGAGCCATTTACACAGTGAGAGGGGCGGTGGATAAATTTGACAAATAAATAGAGTGAAATTAATAAAGCTTTAAAGCTTAAGGGAATGTTTCCCTTATTCCTTCCCAATAGAGTCCAGTGGTAAATTGTCTGTGAATTAATCCTGCAGTGTTTTTTTTTAATTCCTGCAGCCTCAGCAAGAGAAATCATCACTCTTCAGTTCAGCAAAATCCACCTCTGTCTTTAAACATTGGAAGGGTAACAATATATATAATAATATATGAGTTATAATATAACTATAACATATATATATATAATATAATATATAATATTATATATATGTGTGTGTGTGTGTGTGTGTATATATATATTTATTTATTTAGTGTCACAACCCCTGGTAAGCCCCAATTATGGGAGGAAGCTAACTGCTTCCATCATCTGTCAATCGGCTCGTCACAAGAGTCCATCACGCCAGAAACCCAATATTTTTACTGTTGCCTTTGTTATATATGTATATCAGCACAAATAAAACACACACACACACACACACACACACACACACACACACACACAC